GTCTTGTACATATCTGCATGAGCGTATAATGGTCAAATAAACGCAATTCAATCATTTAAAAGCATACTGATTAATGTTTTTTTTTTTATAAAATAAGTATTTATATAATATTTATTATCCGTTTCCCTCCCGAAGTTATTATCCGTTTTCCTTTCTGCTCTTTAAGTTATTTTTAATCATTCATTCATAACAGTCCATCAAAAGTCTACTGCTGAACATAGGCCTCCCCTATAAATTGCCTCATATAGGGTTTATTTGCCAGACTTGCCATGCTTGGCATATAAGTTGGCAACCGCAGTTTTTTTATTATTTAGATCAGAAAGTTGCTGCTAGCCATCGCCTATTTCATTTCCCTATGTCGCCTCTTACGACACGAAAAATGGGGTAATGGATATTCTTACTCCGTTACTACAACGGTCACTATTCACTACAAGCCTTTATACCTGTAATGTTTATTAGGCTTTGATCTAAACAAACTTGCAAGCTAAATTAGAAACACCTCATCTTAGCGGGTTTTGCTTAAACACACCTTAAGTTCTGGTGACAATAATATGCAATACCCAATATTTGAATAAACTTATTTTATTTTATTTTTTACTATTAATTTATGTATTACTTTTAATATAAACAACATCTTGACTGGCATTTACTGCTTTTGTGCAATACCGATGAAGCGAAGTCGGGGTCGGTTCGTTAGTACCAAATAAGATATAAGTTAACTTGGTTAAATAAATTACAGTTGCCCAGAAAGTCCGTCTGGCTCCCGACTTGACGGAATCCAATTTCCCGAAGCTGACTGCTGGTCACGGAAGAGGTAATATAATATTATATAGTTATATCACATTTTAATTTAATTTCGATTTGTTCTTGCTTCAGGGCTGCATTTTTGGATCCCACATAGTACAGTACAGTACACTATAGGTATAGTTGCAGGCTATATCCCGATCTGAATGTTACTCCAGATGCAAGTTATGTACTACACTGCTTACATAGTTTTGAACATATTTTTTTTAAGTAATGAAAATAAAAATAAAAATGAATGTTTCAAAGTTTGTTAAACTATACATACATACATATACACTCACGCCTGTCACCCATAGGGGTAGGCAGAGACTATGGACTTCCATTTGGTACGATCCTGACACACCTCTCTCGCTTCCTCCACATCCATATACCTAATCATACACGTTCGCCGGTTAAAGGTACTTTTGATTTGGCCCATTTTCAATATATCGCCAATTTGGTCGATAAACTTTCGCCTAGGGCGACTCTTTCCGACTCTGCCGTTCACCTCTGCAACATAAATTTGCTTTGTCACTCTTTCCTCATTCATTCTTTATACATGACCAAACCATCGAAGCATTCCTTTCTTAATCCTGGTCACATCATCTTGCAAACCACACTCTTCTCTTATCAAACAATTTCTCACTCTGTCATTCAGATTCATACCTAACATACTCCTTAATGAATGCATTTCTACAGCATTTATTCTACTCTCGTGCTTCTTCTGCCACACCCAACTTTTACTACCATACATTAAAGTAGGTACTAACACAGCATTGTGAATTGCCATACGTGCCTTTTTGAACACATTCTGACTTTTCACAATAGGGTGTAGAGCCCCATTCACTCGATTTCCTGCATTCACTCGTCGTTCTATATCCTCATCATATCTACCATCCCTGCTAAATAAACATCCCAAATATACAAACTCATCCACTTGCTCAATCAACTCCCCTTCTATTCTTATTTCACATAACATTTTACTTTCTTCTCTTTCAAAAACCATCACTTTCGTCTTACTTGCGTTCACTTTCATACCCCTTTCTTTCAATGACCAGTTCATTAAAGTAACCATCATTTGCAACTCGCCGCCGACGATGCAAATATGACTTGATCATCGGCGTGCAAAAGGCATTTGACGGTTAACTCACCCATTCTCAACCCACATTCTTGAACTTTCAAAGTTTGCAAACAACTGTCCATAAACAGGTTAAACAGTCACGGAGAAGCCACACATTCCTGTCTGACACCTTTATGAATGCTAAACCAGTCCGAGTAGACCCCGTTGATCCTGACACAAGCACTAGAGTCCCTATACAGAGACTTCAATGCCTGTATCAAGCCAGCGCTCAACCCAAATGAGTTCAGTGTTTGCCATAACACATCCCTATCCACTGTGTCATAAGCCTTCTCCAAGTCCATGAACGCACAAAAAACTTGATTGTTTTAAAATGATTTTTATAAAAGTTATAAACTATATATTTTTCTTTGTTTCAGGACGAGGTTTATCTGGCAGCTTCGGCAAATTGAAACTTGACAAATAAATGTGATAAAAAGTTCCCAATTATTCAATTAAACCGAACTATTTTCTTAAAGATTTAAAATAATAACTTTTTTATAAAAGACTTCACAGTTTGTTATTTTACATATTAAAAATATGAAGATATTTCTAATTAATGCCCTTCTGAATAGGATTAGTCTGTAAGGATTACAATTGACGCAAATGTTGTTAATTAACATTATTTTCTGTTTATTTTTTTTGTTACCGTATGAATGTTGGACCTGATTGTATAAGGTAAATAAATGATTAAATCAATGTTTTGGTTTTGTTAGATAAAATTACTTATCCCGGACTGGAAGAGGCGGGGCGAATTTTATTATAATGCGGTAAATATGGTTTGTTTGTTTTAATGACCAACTGCTGGTTGAGAGTTATTAAAGATATGATTTTACGTAGATCATGCAGTGTATAATGCGGTGAGAATATATTATTTCGCGATACTGCATATGTCACCAAATTCGGGCTACAGGACGGACGTGCAAAAAGGCATGTGTATTTACCTAGACTTCCGTATTGGACGGACATGAAAGAAGGTATGTGCATTCCTAGACTACCTAGACTTCGCAGAGCTGCCTCGTGTCTCCAGGGCTGTGTTGGAAGTTGGTGGGATGACGGCTGTCTTCACAAATAACTCACTGATTTTCGCGAATTATTGCGTTATTTTAAATGTCTATACACTTGCTGTTTTCTTGTATAGTTCAATATCTAAATTACACCACGGCGCGAGACGATGAAGCGAGATACAGCGGTGCTGTCAGTTGCGTGACTTGCGAACTTGTGAACCCCGTTTAACACACGAGTGCACATGCTGGGCATAAAGGTGATAGATAGGAAACCCCAGGAGTGGCCCTTGCAGTATTCTCATTGGTTGGATAACAATTAACAAATTCATAAGCGTTAGGCGGTAGTTGCAAGTGGCGCGAACAGTTTCTTTATTTACCTTCGTATTTGTAAGAAATTATTATCTAATTTTCTTAACTGTTACCATTACAGCCTAAGTCCACTGCTGAAAATAGAGCTCCCCCATAGATTGCCTCATAGATATTTGCCATAGTTGCCATGCTTGGCAACCGCAGTATTTTTTATTTTTAGTCTTTATTAGGATGACGCTGCTGCCCATCCCCGGTTCGATTGCTTTTAAATTCTTTAACATTTTCCTATTTCTACTCAGAAGAAGGGTAGTGTTTTAGTGTGTGTGTGTGTGTGTATGCGCTAGTGTGCGTGCGTGCATGTGTGTGTGTGTATGTGCGTGTGTGTGCGTGCGTGCGTGCGTGAGTGAGTGAGTTCGTGCGTGCGTGCGTGTCTGCGTGCGTGCGTGCATGAGTGCGTGCGTGCGTGCGTGCGTGCGTGCGTGTCTGCGTGCGTGAGTGCGTGCGTGCGTGCGTGTGTGCGTGCGTGCGTGAGTGCGTGCGTGCGAGTCTGCGTGAGTGAGTGCGTGCGTGCGTGCGTGCGTGCGTGAGTGCGTGCGTGCGTGAGTGCGTGAGTGCGTGCGTGCGTGCGTGAGTGCGTGCGTGCGTGCGTGACTCCGTGCGTGCGTGCGTGTCTGCGTGCGTGCGTGCGTGCGTGAGTGCGTGCTTGTCTGCGTGCGTGCGTGCGTGAGTACGTGCGTGCGTGCGTGAATGCTTGCGTGTCTGCGTGCGTGCGTGCGTGCGTGCGTGAGTGCGTGCGTGCGTGTCTGCTTGCGTGCGTGAGTGAGTGAGTGCGTGCGTGCGTGCGTGCGTGCGTGCGTGCGTGAGTGCGTGCGTGCTTGCGTGCGTGAGTGCGTGAGTGAGTGAGTGCGTGCGTGCGTGCGTGCGTGCGTGAGTGCGTGCGTGCGTGCGTGAGTGCGCGTGAGTGAGTGAGTGTGTGTGTGTGTGTGTGTCCATTTCTTTGGCACTTTGTTGCCTGTACGGCTACATATAGATTTTAACATATAGGTGTCGCTAGATTCATCTTTGTTGTGAAAGTGACGTAAGTAGAATATTTAAATTTTGCTCTTTTTAGTAAACTTAATAAACTTTAACTTTATTTTAGTTATTCGGGTAGTTTTAATCATTTTTAGTATGAGAAGGATAGAATCCCAGAATTTTAGTCATAGTTTTTTTTTTGTGATGTTTGTGCTGTTAGCCAGTATTTAGCCTTTTATATAGGAGTTTATAGAAAAGAGATGGGTGATGATTATGGTAGGGATATTTTTATTTAAAATTGCCTTATGAATATTACCTACATACTAATTGAAGATCAACTTTAAACGATTTACCAATGGGTTGGACAATATTATATCTGTTCTGCGTAGAACTAGGAAGAAACGTTACCATATTATATCATTATTAAAGAACTGTGATCATCAGTCACCAAGGTCAAGGGAAACGAGGAGATGGGCAACAGCGTCTCCCTAATAATAACTAGAAAATAAAAACTGCGCTCGCCAGTCCGCCCACCAAGCGTGGCAACAATGGCAAATACTCCCCTGATGACGAATTTTATGGGGAGGCCTATGTTCAGCTGTAAACTTTGAGGGACTGAAATGGAATGGAATGAATTCACGCTCAGTACTGGACTGCCGCATGTTGGTAATAAGGATACGATTATGATCGTGATGAAATGACCGATAACTATGTCTTTCTTATTATCTGGCAAATGGGAAATAAGTACATAAAAATAAAACGATTTAATTAACTTTTAAAAATTTTGTATTAAAAGTAGCGATGTGTCGTAAATATTCGATTATCATTTGTCAACAATTTTCAGTTTATCTTCGTATGTATAAAAATATTTTTTGTTAATATATAGGTATAGTTATGGACCAAGTGATTAATAGGACAGTATTCATAGTGTCCGGGCAATATGAGTACGCAATATGATAAAAAATATTGAAATAATTAAATTGAACGGGCAATATGAATAAAGTCTGTTACTTACTGCGCAGAGCAATAAAAAGATAGGTTAGGCCAGGTTTTTATTTTTTATTTTGATGAACACAAATACAATGGGAATAAAGTTTTTCATCAAAGGTATTTTTTATTTGTAACGCACACTTTACATATTTACACTTGTTAATTTCAGATTTGTTACATTATTAATTTGTCATATTATTTATGTAGTAATATTCATAATGACCAGACAATGTGATAAATAATGAAGTTTAAATCAGTAAGTATTAATTACATATCCAGATTTAACTTGTTATTATTCATATTTCCCGGACATTATAAATAGTGCCTGATTATTTAATTGGTCCATAACATATATATTTTTAATGGTAAAAATTCCTAATTGAAAAATGATGGACTGATATTCATTGTATTATATAATATATTTATTAATAATTATTCTTCCTTAGGATTCTCATTGACTGTTTCTAACTTTGTGACCTTTTCATCGGATTTCGGCTCTGTTGGTTGTGGTTCTGTTGCTTCCGAAGCCGCTTCCGGTGGGGTTTCTATGTCGTGTACAGTCTTGCTTTCGTTTGGTAATTTCGTGACAGAATATAAAGCGATGTGGCCGTTTTTACTATCGGCAGTCTCTTCTTTTATTTCTACTATCGCACTTCTCACTAGTAAGATAACGTAACATTGGAATGCTGAAATTATAAAAAATAATATAAAAATGTCTGCAGGTGTGATTCGATCTACATTTAGCGTAGGAACGCACTAGTGGCTGGCCGTGATTCGGCAAGTCGTTGCGGCAGACCGCACTTCGATTTTCATATGAAACCGCATGATATCTACGCATATTGACTTGCGGCCTGGCGTCAACCGCACCGGTTAAATGATGCGGCGCGCCGCAGCCCCTCCACACACTCGGCGCGGTTACCCGCAAGACAGCCATGTTGATTCGCTTAAAGAAAAATCTATCTACGATTCCATTCGATAATATAATCGATATAAATAAATAACTGCTGCAACTCCTTCGATATCCATTATGTCCAATTTTTCTCGAAGTACTGACGATTGTGGTGGACTGCAATAGAACCGAGAGGATGCGGTTAGCCGGAACGGCGTGTCGTTGCGGCAGACCATATACAACACGTAACATAATTGACGCACTTTGAGAAAGTAGTTTGTTCAGAATCGTTTACTGAATCGATTTCTATCATTTTTAATATAGGTAATTTTTTTATCCCAAAAATAATTGAAACTACGTAATTTACAGTCACACTAAACCTGTACAGTCAAAACAAATAAACAACTCATTGCACGGAGTTCTGACATCTGTTAATGTTCATAGGTAGGTATTTCTTTAACGTAACCAATCATGATGTATTATCGGCTTTTTTCTAGTCTAGGCTAGCAAGACCTATACCTAGCGTTCGTAGTTTTGTACGGTGACCACAACATCCTTCTGGAATTAGCATAACTAATTTAATAAATAATCAATGCATAAACATGTTTAACTAAGAATTCAGTGTATGTATTATGATTATAACATAATATACTAATTGGGGTGTCTGAGGATGTGTTAATTACGTTAGATGTTGTATACTGTCGCTAGTGCGTTCTTGGCCTTAGCGTAGCTAAGGCGTTGTCATAGGTTAGACAACGCGACGCAACTTAGTACGAGAACGAGAATAACAAACTCTTAGATGAATGATAAGTCATGACCGCGATGACTTATTATTAATCTAAGAACAAACTATTGGTATCTATACGTGGTCTTTATTGTTGTGTTGATCAGTTTACGACCATAATTAATATACTTGTAGTTTCGATCGCGTTGCTTGGGCAAAGGCAACGAGGTGCGTGAATTGCGTCGAGATTTCACGTTTTCAGTCCTTGTTTGTTTATGTTTGTCTTTATATTTATTATCTTCAATAGATACCGAATCGTTAAAGCGAAATTAAAAATAGATGAGTTATGTTATTCTTTTAATTTTATCATCAATCTTACTTCCCTCTCATAAAGAGGTTCGATGATGATGTAATCCATCTATTTCTATGACCCTGTACATGTGCAAACCTTCTGACGACGCGGCGTAAGGAAATTCGCAACCACATTTTCCTCACACGGTTATCATAAAAGTTGAAAGGTGAAAAGAATATTGGGACTACCTGCAAAATCTCATAGGCTTCGATAGATGGCAGCTCAACCATATCCTATTTTCCCGATGTGAAATAGACCAAGAACAGGGATTTGCAAACGATTACACAAGAATCGCACTCGAATATAGTTCAGTTTGAGCCCAAAAACTGTTTATTTAACTTCTTTTAATACTAACCCAAGTCGCCTATAACGTTGATCTTCGTAAGAGTAGATAAGACGGCTATGACCATAGAGTAGACGAGAACGGATGCCACAATGGATGCCAATCCGAAGTACATATAAGTCCTCAGTAATACTGTGTCTTTCTGAAAAAAAAATGCAGTAAATTAAGTTTGCTTGTTCAAATAAGCTCTTATGAATTGTTCACAAGTCCACGGTAAGAAAGGCCGCCTCATAGAACTATGTTAGCTCAGCGGATAAACGATAGTCTTAAAATTCTCCCAAAATAAGTATAAATAAGATAAACGACAGTATCTTTAAAGTTGTTAATTAGAATTTGTGCAGATTTACGATTTGCTATTTACCCGGCGTTGAAGAAAACCTTCTATACAAAAACAAATATCTCTTCCCACTACACCGTATCATACCATGACCGTGCTAGGAACGTGTCAGGCAAATAAATATTATTTGTATTGAAAAGTATGACACTGTTCCCACTAGAACCGTTCCGTCACCGACCAAAACCGTCGCGTGCCATGCACAGAGCGTCAACAAATGTCGGCGAGAATAGTTTGCCGGTGCGATCCGGCGAGTATATGGGTTGTAAACGCGTATGATGACCGTTATGTAGGCGTTGTAAGCGCGTTGCCGTAACTTAGTCATTTATTGTCAGTTCACGAGATGTAAAGATGTTGTAAAATGGAGGACGAAAAATTAATAGAATGTGTACGTAAATATGAGTTTTTATGTAATCTACAACACCTGAAATATATGGATAGGGTGAAAAAAGAAATGGCTTGGAAGGAAATTTCGGAACAACTAAAACAACCAGGTTTGCAGGTTTGTTTATTAAATTATTGTTTATTTGAAGTAATTTAATATATGAGTTAGTTAACCTATTTGTTAGTTTATTTTTTAGATAGATAGTAGTTAAGGCATTTTATTTTAGTATAGTCTAGTTTATAAAATGTAATATTAACATTGCAGTAATGAAATGGATTCCTATTGGTTTTGGTGGATGTTGCATACGGGCATCATACGGGTTATATACGGGTTGCATACTAGCATCATACGGGCTGTATACGGGCACAGAATGCCGTCGATCCGTTCAGTGGGCATAGTAGAGCGTACCGTGTTGCTTTTCGTGTCTGATACGCTCCTAGCACGGTCATGGTATGATACAGTGTAGTGGGCAGAGACCTTAAGAAGTAAAAAGAAACATTTTGAGTACATATTACGTACAGTTAGGATTGGCAACCCTAATATGTAATAGGCACAGTGTCCTTTAATAGGGGTCCGAATATTAATATATCCTGCTAATATTATAAACGTGAGATTTTGTGAGGATATATGGATGTTTGTTACTCTTTCGCGCAAAAACTACTCAATGGATTTTAATGAAACTTTACAGTTATATAGGTCATACATCAGAATAACACATAAGCTATAATTAATAAAGATATTGTGTAAATTGGCCAAAATATAACGATAAATGTTACGTAAGTAGGAAAATAAATACGACGTCAGTCTGAACACGCATCACGCAAAAACCTGTGAACTGATTTGGATGGGACTTACACTGGCAGATAGCTGATGTTATAAGGAGTAACTTAGGCTACTTTTATTTTAGGGGTCCGCGCAAAAAAATTCCACTCGGGTGATGTCGCGGGGAACAACTAGTACTATTATTATAAAGTGGGTACAACTGCTATATTTTAATAACGCTGATTACGTGGTATTCATTGCTTTGAGGAGCTGGCTATGTCTTGTTACTATTAAAAGTAACAAATACTTTTTAAATTTAAATATATTTTAAACATTGTACATAACATACTGTGCCCATGACAAGTAGAGCACTTTAATGGATTAATATAGAAGAATTAAAATATGTTTATAGTTACCCGATACATCGCGCATAGTAATAACATGTTGAAAGCCAGCTCGGTGCCGTAAGCTAATATGCCGATGATCTTAGACCCATCATCGTCCAGTATCACTTCCTGTACGGCCATCAGTGGAGGCGTAATGCCTCCGTCAGCAGTTCCCACTAATGAGAGCATCTAAAAATCGTTTTGTTTTATTGAATTTTATTAATAACTGTAACGTACAACCTGGGTTGGATTCCAGCTGACACCAGTAAAACTATTATTTACAATTTTAAGTGCTAATTCACCACGTGCTTGGAGGTGAAGAAAAACTTCGTAAAGAAGCCTTCATGTCTAAGAAATAAAATATTTAGAGGAAATATAAAGTTTATTAAAAATTGTTTATTGCTTGTAACATTATGAATTTAAGATGGTAAATTACTGATGGCCCTGCAAGACCATGTCAACATTAGGGTTGTAATAAGCCCGGCAAATTGGTAATACGCGGGAACCTTGTCACATTAACGTCCACGTGACGTCATCTGCAATTAAAAAGTACAGTGAACAAAAAAAAAATAAGTATACCAATATTATTGATGTGAAAATAACTCTGTCTCCCGCTTAACTATTAACTTAACTATTTTTTGATTATCTAGATATTAAACATAAATTATAAAATATCATAATGATTCAATATTATTTAATTTAAGTTAGGTACCTAGTTAAAATAATCCCCATAATCCTTTTTCTTCTTTGAAATAAAAGAAGGCTTTGACCAAAACTGGGCGTACATAGGCAGAAAGTTTAATGAATAAACAATTTGTAAAATATTGATGAATAGTGATGTGAAGCTGGCAGAATAACAGTGTTGTAGATTTTCTGCACGCTTATAGTGCGCCCGAGACCATTTTTATTCCACTAACTTAGTGATTAGCTTTCTTAATGCACTTTGATCATTGACTTATATATTACTAGACTTTGATACTTATGGTCAATGAATATATGTTTTAATATTATTAACAAGCGTTCGCAAGTATTGGACTTTTCTATTAACTATATGGCATATGAATGAGAGTAGCTGATTACCGAGTACAACGGCACATTACGATTGTATCCCAATTCGCAACAGAAGCCAATGAGAAGGTTTTCATTACTTCTTTTTTCGTTAACCACACCAAGCACCTAAGCTTGTGCTTGTTTTGAAACTAAACCCAAAAAAAAATGTTCCTTCCTATATTAGGATACTAGTAAATAATAACCTTCGATTCAAAAATAAAATAATGTATCACAACGCTTATTCTAACGATCATCGATGATAACTAATGACATGCTGCTCTCGAATAAATGAACTCATAAATAATACGGTAACTATATCGTGTTATCGCGTAATGTAATGCGAGCAAAAAAACCCAACACATCGAGATACAAAAATACTACATTAAAATCTACCAGATATGTGCTTCTTCATTATTAAATAATAATTATTATGTTTATTGATTAAACAATATACGTCAGTATCTTCTATTACATTTACTAACTAAAACTTAAAGTAAGGTAGACTGAGGCAAGTGTGACAGTAGGGCAAGTGTGACAAATGCAAATTATGCTCCATAAATACGTTTTTTTGGTTAAATGACATTTCTTGAACAACGCAGGAACTTTTATGCTGTTGACTATACCGACAGTTAAGTAGGTATCTGCAACTATTTTATCGACAGACGTCATTTTTTTTAAACTACTCAACTGGCGAAAGCCCGCGCAATTTTAAGAGGCGAAGTTTTTAAGTGTTTAGATACGTCACTAATATATTTTAAACAAGATACAAGGTGAGTGATAAAGAATAATATTGGTACTTATAGTGTAATATGTTTATGTGACCTGAAATCCACTATTCCTTGAAATACGGATACAGCCTCACCTAATATCTAACATCGGGGTAAGTGTGACAGTGTCACGTCCCCTTACCCACGTTACCCCGATCATCTTGTATGAGAATATCGTAACTAGTGATGGGACAGCATATTGTTTTTAACTGACTTTCAAAAAAGGAGTATGCTGTTTAGCTTTGTGTTTGTATGTATTTATATCTAAGTGTTTACTTTTATATTTATACTTAATAAACGAGCGAACGAAGGGAGTGAGATCTCAGACGAATTGGTGTTTGTATGTTAGTAGGTACTTGTGTTTGTATGTACATACGTAAGTCTGCATGATTTTTTATGTACGGTGATAACTCTTGAAAGACTTATCTGATTTCAATTAAATTTAAAATGTTGATATATACATACAAATAGAAAACTGGTGGGTTTTGAAATATGGAGGAGTGTGTCAAAAGGGGTGAGAAATGTCATGGGGTATGCCTTTTTTTTAACTCGGCGAGAAGTCAGAGCTTTAGTTGGCCAATATGTTCGTCGCAATGAAATCGATACTCCCTTCAAAAATGGGATTCCGGGAGACGAGTGGTTAAGAACAAGGAAGGAACAAACCATCGATTAAAAAAGCCTCAAGCCGTCATATCGCAAGAAGAAAAGCTGCCGACTAGAATTTCCCTACGAGTTCAACGATGTGCTTGAGACAGTCATACAAAAACAACAATTCATAGGTGATCAAATAATGGAATCTTGGTGAAACAAGTTTCTGTCAAGACCCAGGAAAGTTGAAAATAATTGGCCTAAAAGGTTTTCAAAGCACAAGAACCACTAGCTCACCAGGCAGCGATAATACAACTATATTGTTGACATGCAATGCCTGGGGCCAGAAAGTTCCTCCGTTAATAATTTTTAAAGGAACGTATCTTTGAAATACATGATTACCTGGTGATAATTCGATTAATTTGGCATTTGTCGCTACGCCAAAGGGTTGGATGGCTTCAGTCTTCGAAAGTTACTTTTCAAATGTACTGATCCCGGAATTATGCAAATCTGGCAACCCACAACTTGTAATATATGACGGCCATTCAACACACCTTGACTTAAATGTTATTATAAAGGCTAACGAAAACAATATTACCCTTCTAAAACTACCGCCTCATTCTTCCCATATTTTGCAACTAAGCGGAATTTTATTTATTTGAGAAATATTTCACTGATGTTCCTATCTTGACAACAGAGTCATTGAATGCTTCTCCAACTGTCGCCGAATCATTACTTAAACAGAATGTTAATACCTGTTTAAAAGAATTTGGATTTGAAAAAGTATTACCGCATAATATTGTAAAATACTTCAAAACCATTGATGTAAAGAAAACCGCAGATTTGTGGGGGATTTCCGTTACAGTGATTACGTCCATAATAGATTTAATTGCACCTCATCTTGCTATTATTTTTAATACTTGTATCGATTCTGGTGTGTTTCCTGATTTAATGAAGTATAGTAAAGTAATACCTTTATTTAAATCTGGTAGTACATTGGACCCCGCTAATTATAGACCTATTTCTGTACTACCAACTCTCAGTAAAATTTTTGAAAAAATAATTTTGGATCAATTGTTAATTTTTTTTAATACAAATAAATTACTTCATAAAAATCAATTTGGTTTTACAAGGGGTCGCTCGACGTCTGACGCCGGTGTTGAGCTTATGAAATATATTTTTAATGCCTGGGAGAATTCACAAGATGCCTTAGGTATTTTCTGTGACCTTTCCAAGGCTTTCGATTGTGTTCATCATGATACATTAATCAGGAAACTACAACATTACGGTGTAAAAAATTTGGCGCTTAAACTTATTACTTCATATTTAAGTAACAGAACTCAAAAAGTCGTCATTAATGGTAAATGTTCCTCCGGATCGGTAGTATCAATGGGCGTTCCTCAGGGCTCGATTCTTGGCCCATTCCTGTTCTTAATCTATATTAATGACTTACCTTATCTTGTAGGGGACAATCACGATATAGTATTATTTGCTGACGATACCTCTTTAATTTTCAAACTGAAACGGCAGTCAATTAAATATGACGATGTAAATAATGCTCTATCGAAACTAGTACATTGGTTTAACGCCAACAATTTGCTCTTAAACGGCAATAAGACAAAATGTATTAAATTTACAATACCTAATGTAAAACATTCGAAAACCAATGTGCTCTTAAATGGGGAGGAGTTGAGTCTTGTGGATACCACTGTTTTTCTCGGTATTACTATTGACGCGAAACTTCAATGGGGCCCCCATATATCTAAATTAGCAAGCAGACTTAGTTCTGCAGCATATGCTGTAAGAAAGATTAGAAGTCTCACAGATGTTGAGACAGCTAGGTTAGTGTATTTTAGTTACTTTCATAGCGTAATGTCTTATGGAATTTTGCTATGGGGTAATGCGACTGATATTGAAGCTATATTTGTTTTGCAAAAGAGAGCCGTACGGGCGATTTATAATCTAAATTGTAAAGAGTCCCTTAGAGAAAAATTTAAAGAAATAAACATATTAACTTTGGCATCGCAATATATTTATGAAAATGTAATGTATGTACATAAAAACATAAATAGCTTTAATAAGAATAAGGATGTTCATACCTTAAACACTAGGAACAAACATAAGCTTGTAATGCCACTTACAAGACTCCACAGAATTAGTAATTCATTTATGGGGCAATGTATACGCTTTTACAACAGAATCCCAGAACATGTTCAAAGTTTGTCAATAAACAAGTTTAAAAGTTTTATTAAAGAAAAACTGTACAAAAAGGGTTATTATAATATCAAGGAATACATGAGTGAAAATAACCCCTGGGAATAAGGTGATCGCCACCATGCTGGTTCTATGAAAATTCATTTAAAATTGTATAATCAAAATTATTGTTAAGTGAAATTATGTTTAAAAAAAAAAAAGTCCCGCTGGGTTTCTTGCTGGTTCTTCCCAGGACAGAGGTATTTTCCGAACCAGTGGTAAATAAAATAATGACTTTCAATAAGTATTATGTAATAATCCATATTGAATAAAAATCATTCTATTCTATTCTATTCTATTCTAAAAATTAAAGTTATTTTTCACTTAGCATTGTTTTTATTACTTTCAAAACATCCAGGGCAAGTGTGTGACATAAATCCATTTATAGGCACATCACTATATCGGTTAAAAACTGTCACACTTACCCCATTCGTAGAAAAAGCCATTGTTACACAAAAATAGACGTTCAAATCTTTCAAATAGATCTTTTATACATTAGTATCATCTCATCAATTTTCGAAAACTACAGATAATAATAAAGTAACTACAAAAAGAAGCGTACTGTCACACTTGCCTCATTGATGGGGTAAGTGTGACAGTCTTCCACCTTAAATAGTTTTTATTACCTCAAATTCAAAATGCTACTTGTAGATACTAAAATGCTTGAACAACCACTTATTAATTGATGTTTTGAAACGGAATTATCTGTGTTAAACACTTACAGAGTAGAAGTATTTAAATGTTCATTTTAGTTTTAATTAATTTATGTCGCACTTGCCTCGGGTGACTCTACAAAAAATAGTTTAAGGCAATACTTGAATACTTGAATGTATTATGCTGTGAACGTTTCATCATCATCATAATAGTCATCATTACAGCCCTTCACAAGTGTGCTGCTGAATATAGGCCTCCCCCAAGGAATGTCACAAAGCACGGCCCTTAGCCATCTGCATCCATCGACTTCCTGCATATCTTACCAGGTCTTCACTCCATCGAACGTTTCTTACGTAAATATAATTGGCAATGAAAAGTCCAAGATTGGAATTGCTAGCATCTAAACTATAAACCTGTATCTTATACGCTAATTTCTTCCTTAAAAATAATTATAAAATATATATTTATAGACTAACATTCATACATAGTAGCCGCACACACACGTGACAGAAGTTGAATATCAGATTCGAACAGTAGACTTTTAAATTTGCGGTTTCCTAAACTATTAGGTCCTTACATATGAAATTAGCGTTTTGTCTTACTGACCACTTTGATCTGAAATATCTCCTCTTTGGTTAAGAATTCCAAATTCAAATTTATAAATTCATTTATAATTTTTTTAATTTAAATTTAGCTGGTACATTTGAGTTTTGAAAACAGTCATTCATTTGTTTTTCCCTCATTATTTTTTCCTTTGGCGTCGCTTATTACCGCACAATGAAAAACATGAAATATCGGTATATTTACGAGTACGAGTTCTATCGTGGCACCAGTACTGCAGAAACAGCTCGAAGGATTAATGATGTGTACGGCGTTGGTGTCGCATAAGAAAGCACGGTACGTTTTTGGTTTCAACGTTTTCGTTCTAGAAATTTCGACCTTCAGAACCTACCCCGTGGACGGCCGGAGACCAAAGTGGAAAATTAAGAATTAAAGGCTATTGTGGAAGCGGATGCATCACAAAGCACTTCAGAGATAGCTGCAGGCTTTGGGGTGAGTGAT